TTTTCTTAATGAGTGCARAATAACTATGTAAAGCACGAGAGTTATCAAGCAGGATTCTCTTGCCACRGAACAGGTATGACACAGACAGCAGGATTTAGATTTCCTTCATGTTTCCTTGCATTAAAAATCAACTTGATTCTCATGGGAACCGCTTTTAGCTGCTCAGAGTGTGGTGGTGATGAGCTCCTGGGAGGGGAGGGACTGTGAGCACTTTGCTGCTGCTGGAGGTCCCTGCAATGACCTTGCCTGCAGGAAAAAAAAAACCACTGCAGAGCTGAGCAAGCAAACACTGGGGCACTGATGGCCTCAGGAAAGCAGGGATGGGTTTCTTGGKCACTGACACTGGATGGATCTGTCCCCAGTGTGGATCCCTGAATGCTGGGRTCTCACTGGAGGCTGCTTTTCCAATCCAAAGGAGCAGGATGTCCAGATTGGCATCAAAGACATGCCTGGAAAACCCATCAGGGCTGGTTYTCTGCATGGGCTGGAAAGGAGCTTTCAGGTGGCATCTCCTTTTAGTCACATTTCTCCAATTCCACCACTGCATTTCTTAATCCAAATCCACATTTGTGTTGCCTTCCCTACCTTCCACCTACCAGCAGCATCCTCTGATGTTTTCAGATCTCTGCAGAAGCTTTTTGCTCAGGCCAGGCCTTTGATGAAGGATCTCTTCCAAAGCAGCTCTGGCCCTGCTGGGATCTCTCATACATTATTCCCCCTCTTTTCCCATGGACTCCTTTTTTTTTGGGAAGACAAGCACAACCCATCCCTGAGGTGTGGCCTCTTCATCAGGTGCTGAATGAGCTGCCCCTTCCTCATCCCTTCTCTCTCATCCGCTGCTCTCCTCTGCAGGGTGAAGATCCTGCACTCTGCTCCTCCAGCCTGCTCTCCACATCCCTGGAGAGCTCAGTGCCACTCTTTGGGAGAGCTCAGGGAGTGCTGTCCCCCTGTCCTGTGCACCTTTGTGACCACTGCAGTGGTGTGTCCTGCTGAGCTGCGCAGGGGTTAATGAACGGGTGCTGACACAGCTTTTGGAAGATGAAAAGTGCCGTGGAAAGGCTCTGTTATTGTTCCCGTGCATGAAGAGGTCTGTAGCAGACCCAACCGTGTATTGTGTTTGGCCACTGGATGTCACAGCTGCTCAACACACAATGCAGCAGAAAGCAGAAAGGAAAAGTGCTTACCCAGCAWTGGGCAGCAGCAGTTTCCAGAGCCTTGCCTTGTTCTGTGCCCTGCCTTTGTTTGTGAAGGGGCTTGGGGTCTTCTCCGTGTTTGTGCACTGACAGAGTGCATTTTCAGGAGATGGAGCAGCATCCTGCCTGTCCTTACCCTGGGAGATCAGGAGCAGAGGGAACATTTGTCAGGGGAGCAGTGCAGCCCCCCATAAATCCCAAACAGTGCTGAGAGTGTGAGCAGGTACTGGCTCTGCTGCCAAGCTCCTTTCCCACTGGGTTATTCCTCCTCTCCCCCACTTTGAGCACAGCACAGAGCCCTGGGATGATGGAAACAATTCTCCTGGGATGATGGAAACAATTCTCCAAGGTTCTCTTGGCACAGCTCCTTCCATCCCCACATTCCAGTGCTCCTCACACTCAGTGCAGTGACAGCTTTGGCCTCTCCCTTCCTAATCCTCCCTCCTCGCTTTGCTTTCTTCCAAAGTCTCCAGCAGAGACCCAGAACATGAAATCCCTTTCAGCAAAGTCTGYAGAGCAGCCCTAAGGAGACATTACAAGAGCTGTAATGGCATTTCCTGGAAATGAAAATGAAGAGGGATTATTTGCCCATGTTCTCTCCTTTTTTTATAGCATCACATTGTCCTTTTCTCCACCTTGGGGAAATGCAGTGAAAGGCTGTTCCTGGCCATGGTGCAGTGAGGTGAGARCCACACCAGAAGTGATGTGAACATTAAAAAGGGAAAACTATTTTAAGATAATCCAAGGGTTACAGCTATAACTAAGAGTAATTGGCTGAAACTGAGCAAAGGAAAATTTAGGTTGACAACGAACTGCAGGTAGCTAATGCTGAGATCTGTTAGACCGTGAAATGGAATTCGCAGAGGAAACCTCTCTGCTTTCAAATGGGCAAATCCTGCCTTTAGGAGCRCTGGTGTAGATCTCTGGTGTCTGTCTCTGACTGCCTCAAAACCCATTTCTACCACAAAGCTTGAGTGGAATCCATAAAGGTGTCTGAATTTATATCAGAACAAGGTAAGGTGACCCTGCCCATGGCACAGGGYTGGACTARATCTTCTTYAAGGTCCYTTCCAAACCAAACCATTCTSTGATTCTATGATTAAATTTAGTCAAATACATCAAAATATTATATAAGATGAAGGAGGTCTAAAGAGATTGTATGAACTGGAGAAATGAATTCCAGCTCTTTTCTACCCCTGTGATCTTTGTATGTCCTTGAAAACCAGGGGCAAAAAGAGAAAGGAAAAAAAAGTGTGGGCAAAAATTCAAAGAAAAGAGGCCCAGTTTCGGAAATAAGATGTAGAAACATTACAGGAATTGTTGAATAAAAGAATCTGGTGCTTCAATCCGCACAGCTATTGTCAGCTTTCCTCATGGGTCTGGTTGATCTTTGTGTTTCACAAAGCCTGTGCAGGCTCTGGGTACTTTCACTCCTCCAGCCCAGCCTAAGCAGACACAGCTCTGTTTGAAGAGGCTTTAGACTGGCTCAGACAAACCTGGACAGCCCGATTGAAGGCACTCTGTCCATCTGASATCAAACAGCCTCTTCCTGGCCAAGTGTTTGCTGGGCTGGGCAGTGATGCAGCTCTCACTGCAACCCCGATGGATTTCCTGCTGATTCAGAGGGAAAGGAGTTAACCCTTTCAAGTTCTGGGTCAAAGGAGCACTGGTTTGAGGCAGCTACTTCAATGCCCTGTGGAGGTTTTAATGTGGCCACCAATACTGAGAATGTCAGACTTGAGCTGAGCCTTAGGCCAGCGAGCACAGAGAGAATAGCCTGGGAGAAGCAGGATTTAAAAGATGGCAAAGAGTCAGGAAAACTGCAGAGATAAAAGCAAAGTGCATGGAAGGCAATGATGTGGGATAAAAGGCTTATTTCCTACCGCAGTCTGGGCAGGAGGGGGAGGCTGAAATCTGTGTGAAAGTGCCCTGCCTTTGGGCAGAAATCACTCTGAGAATATTCACGGCTGACAAACACAACATCAGATTTCCTCAGGGGCTAAATCTGGGTGTGGAGATGAGCCCTGTCACAGCCCTCACCTGTGAACCCCCAGCTCACCCCAAACACGGTGCTGCTGTGCTGTCTGTGCTTCCCAGGCACTGCATCCCTGCTTCTCTCCAACAATTCCATCCAGGCAGCAGCAGAGCTGACCAAGACAAGCCTCAGGCCAGCCAGSTTCAATTCACATTCACATTCACAAAAAAAGGCCAGCCAGGTTCAATTCACATTCACCAAAAAACCCCCGAGACCCAGCAACCAGTGGTTGTTGTGTGCAATACTGAATTCAGAAGAACTTCCACAATATTCAGCTCATAGTTAGAAGCTCAATATCCAAATACATTTAAATGACTTAATTAGAATTATTTTTCTGTCCTAACCCCAAAATAAATCCCGACTTTGTTCCCTTACTAAATCCTTCCCACGGATTGCTGTGTCTTCATAGAATCACAGAATGATTTGGGTTAGAAAGGACTTTAGAGACAATAATGTAAGCACACAGAGATGTGGGGTTTGGATGTGCTGAGCACCCACAGCTCCTGCTGATATCAAGTGCAATGTCACAAATGTTACAAAAGCTCCATTAAAAATTAATTCCCTGCCATCTCCATTTTCCTGGCACCGAAACGACCCCAAATGGGCTGAATTTCAACCCCTTAGAGCAGACTGAGCTGATCAATAAAGCACTGGTGAGGGWGGCAGTTTGTCCCTGTGTGACATCCATTGGCACTCCAGTGACAAGAGAGGAGCTCAGTGCACAGGTGACCTCTGATGCTTGGCTCTTCCTCACACCCTCCCGTGCTGCTGGCTGCAATCCTGAAGTGCAAAGAGGTATAAACCCCCCAAAATTTCCCCCTCAGCTAATTTCAAAGCCTATTTACACAACTGGATACACAAGGATTAGGAAGTGCATTGCAGGGCATGTTTGCTTGGTTTAGTCCTTACACAGCTCAGTGCAGCCGTCAGAATCAATGATTTCTTCAGAGGAGAGGGGGGAAAAAAACCACTTTTGGTTCATCAGCTCAATATTCCAGCAGTTCCCAAAGATTAAATRTGCACTGCACCAACCAGCAACCCAGGAAAGGCCTTTTAATGGCAACAATTCACTTGCAAAGAGTAAGGTTTTGAGTAAAATACCTGCTGCTGTYCTTCAGCACACAAACCTGAGCTCCCATGCCACCTGCGTGGTTTGCATGGTTTTTTGGGAGCTCTTTCTGGGTCACCACATCTTTTTTTGGTGAGTTTAGAGGGCTTGGCYCTGCACAAGACAGACACTGGATTTGAGTTCTCTCGGGCATAGTAATGAGCAGGAACTGAGCAAACTGCCTGTGCTGCAGAATCTCAGGGCCTGTCCTGCCCAAACTGCCCCAAACTGCCACTCAAACTGTCCCTCAAACTGACACCCAAACTGCTGCAAACTGTCCCAAACTGCCCCAAACTGCCACTCAAACTATCACTCAAACTGCCCCAAACTGCCACCCAAACTGCCACTTAAACTGCCACCAACTGCCACTCAGACTGCCACTCAAACTGCCACTCAAACTGCCATTCAAATTGCCCCAAACTGCCACCCAAATTGTCACTCAAACTGCCCCAAACTGCCACTCAAATTGCCCCCCAAACTGCCACTCAAACTGTCCCTCAAACTGACACCCAAACTGCTGCAAACTGTCCCCCAAACTACCACTCAAACTACCCCAAACTGCCACTCAAACTACCACTCAAACTGCCACTCAAACTGCCAAAGTGCCCCAAACTGCCACCAAACTGCCCCAAACTGCCACTCAAACTGCTGCAAACTGTCCCAAACTGCCCCTCAAACTGCCACTCAAACTGCCCCAAACTGCCACACCACAGCCTCCCTGGGTCTGGCCTTGAGACCCTTCCATGCAGCTCAGTCCCCAGACTCACCTCAGTCCCTGCTGACTGACTGAAAATCCCCTCGKTCCTGAAAATAATTGCAAATTTTATCGCAAGTGGCAGGGGCACTGCGAGCAGAAGTGCTGAGGTTTCACTGCTCTGAGCTTTCTTGCCAAATGTTTCATATTGCTGCCCGGCCCCTGAAGCCAACAGCCAAGCCATGCTGCTTTTGTTGGAAACGTTGGTTCTTCTCCGTAGAAGGTAAAAAATTCCATTCCTGGGGAGATTTCTGCCCTGCTTTTGTTTTGAAACCATGGGTTTGGGAGCTGGGAGGAAGAAAGGGCTGCCAGCAGTGTGTCACTCCTGGAGGGAGCAGGGGTTATTCAAAGGGAATGGCATTTGCCTGGTGCCAGAATATAAAAAGGCAGGCAGGGAATCCATGGGCTGTTCCCTGTTCTTGCACTGGAACAGAGGGAATTATTTGCTTGGGACACATTTTTAAGGAAATCAAATGTCTGAAGAAAAACCAAAGTCCACAAGATCTTTTAGACACCTGTGACCTGCTAGTATAAATTCAAATTCCTGTATGTTTTTTTTGAAAAGCCATCAGAGTTTCAGTCGCTTGTATCTTTGAAGTTTAAACGGTTTTAAGAGCTCYGAATTTTTCAAAGGTTGCCAATCTCTCCCATTCAAACCGAGATCTTCAGTGATGAGGGAAGGTGTGCAAAGCCAAATGCTTTGCATGCTGAGGCTCCGGGGTGTGGGGTACCTGTAAACCCAACCTCAGGAGCCTCATTTTCAGAGCAGCTGAGTGTCTGCAGTTTKGATTTCCAGTAAAATTCTGAATTACTCTGCACTTTTGTAATCCAGTGCCCCGAATGCCTCCTGTCCTGGCTCCTTGCTCTGTGTGGAGGGGAGCGAGGTGGCTGTGTCGGGGCAGGTTTTGGGGTTGGACAGGGTTTGGGGTCTGGGCAAGTTTTGGGGTCTGGGCAGGTTTTGGGGTCTGGGCAGGGTTTGGGGTCTGGGCAGGGTTTGGGGTCTGGGCAGGGTTTGGGGTCTGGGCAGGGTTTGGGGTCTGGGCAGGGTTTGGGGTCTGGGCTGGGGTTGGGGTCAGGACAGGGTTGGGTTTTGGGCAGGATTGGGGTCTGGGCAGCGTTTGGGGTCTGGGCAGGTTTTGGGGTCTGGGCAGATTTGGGGTCTGGGCAGGGTTTGGGGTCTGGGCAGAGTTTGGGATCTGGGCAGGGTTTGGGGTCTGGGCAGGTTTGGGGTCAGGGCAGGTTTGGGGTCTGGGCTGAGGGGTTTTTGCGTGGCTCTGCAGGTCCGACACGGGGATGCTGCTGCTGACCCTCCTGCTCCGCCTGCTCCTGGCGCACCCCGGACACTCCCACCAAGTGCCCTGGACCTACAAAGGTACCACAAACGGGGCTGATTTGGGGTTCTGCTGCCAAACACTGCTCCCTTTTGAGCTGCAGAAACAGCTTGGCTGTCCCTCAGTGAGAGAWMACAGAGCAGCTGATTTATTGCACGTTATTGATGCCTCTGTGTCTTGAAAGTGAATCTCCTCAATGTCACCCCTTTTTCACTCTCTTGTATTATTGGGACGCATTGTCAGGGTTGGCAGCACAACGAGGTTCAAACAATGGGGGAAATCTTTAGAAAGTGGTGGAAGAAAAGCTGCCCTTTGGATGCTCCTGAAAGGAAAARCTTTACATACTGCCTGCTTCTTATTTTATTGTGCTATCCCAGGCAGTACAGAGCACTAATAAGTGAATACCTATTCAGRTATTTCTATATTTTTGTGAAATTTTATCTGAGTTTCATTTGTGGCAGGGCTGTTGCTTGCAGAGCTGACTGAAGCAAATGTTAATCCTTTTATGATCTTCAGTGGSCTAAGCTAAAACAAAGGATATTGCAGTTGCTCTCTGCCTAGTTAAAAATAGCAAATTGCTGTCAGTTCCTGATCCTAAGCTGAGCCTTCCTGCATATTGCCCTGATCCTATTCACTCACACTGGTTAAGAAGCCAATTGCACACCTTTGGCAGCTGGGGCCTGTTTAAATCCCCATTTCCATACAAACAGCGCTCCTCTTTCTGTTCTCCAGCCATCCTTACTCTGCTGCTGCAATGCAGCTTTCCTCCTTTGCAGCACYGCTGTCCTGCAGACACAATAATGTGCATTTTCACTCTGGGGAAAGCACAGCAAAACCCTTTATGGCTGCAGCTCCCGGTGTTCCAATAAATGAGCTGTGCAGTTGAGGAGARCTCCTGACTCCTGACTGACATTTCCCCATCCCCATCACCCCTTTGCTTCCCCGCAGGAGAAGGAGAGCTGGACGAGGAGCACTGGGCTCAGCATTTCCCAGACTGTGCTGGCAAGCAGCAATCCCCCATCGACATCCAGAGGAGGAAAGTGAAGTACAACCCTCTGCTGCTGCAGCTGGAGCTCAGTGGMTACGATGGGCCCTTGCAGGGGAACTTCACGATGACCAACAATGGCCACTCGGGTAAGCCTGGGGCTCTCAGGGGCACATTCTTTGGTTTAGCCAYGGAAATGCATTCACAGCAATGCCCTCTCCTTAAACTCACCTGGCTTGGCCATCTCACTGCGTTCTGCTCTCTTGGGTTTGCTCTTGTCCTCAATCACTCCAGAAATACAGAAATAAAGCAGACAAATAAAAGGCAGTTAGGTTTCTGCAAGGTATTTTCTCAGTTGGATTTGAAAAGGGAATAAAATGCAACTGGAGTATTCTGGATTGCTCCTGCAGCAGTGAGTGGTGTTTGGGCAACCCTGACTCCTCTCTGCATTCAGAAAAATGCATTTATTGGCCCTGAGCATTAATAAGAAGTGACAGGAATGGAAACCTTTGCACCCCAGGTGTGGCTGAATGTAGGTCACCCAAAGTGCAGCACAGAGGGGATCCCTCCCTCCCAGGCACAGGATTGGTGTTTTAGGGTCAGGAAGGGAAGCTGAAGCCCAGCACGTGTTGAAAGCCTGACCTTTGGTTACACAGTTTCAGGGCAAGGCTCATAATTTAGGAGATCCCAGATTCCCCTGCTGCAATCTGTAATTTATTGTCTCAATAATTCATCAGCTGGCACTGTCAGGATAATAGTTTTGGACTGCAGATGAGCTGTGAGAGGATTTTCTGAGAGGATGGAGAGGATGAGTGCTGGTGGGAAGGTGTTGGGAACACAAAGCTGGTGGCTCCCGAATCCCACACCTGTCTGTAACAAAGAGAGAAATCTGGTGGAGGGTGAGGCAGGAGTGATGAGGGACAAAGGAGGACAGTGGAGATTTGGGTTCTGAAAACTGAAACTCCTTTTGTGTGGCTGCACCAGGTCAGCGTTCAGCCTGTCAGCACTGCTGCCCTGCCTGCCTGGACATTAATTCCTGCAGGTTTAGCTTTTCTGGCCGCATGTGTGTATTTGCCCATTCTTTTGTTAACTTCCCAACAATGATTTTCTGATGCAGGGCAGTTTCCTAAAGCACAAAGACAAACGGGGGGCCATGTCTATTCACAGCTCCTGTGAGTCAGGCTGGGCTTTTCTACTGCCTTCAGTGAGATGGGASAGGGCAGCAGAATCTCCAGGGAAAACACTCAGCACATCTGAAAGGGCCAGGAGAGGGATTTATCAGCAGGGCTTTCCTTACAGGCTCTCAGAGCCAGCCCCAAATGTCTCACCCAAGAAACAAGAAACAATTTTCCCTGCAGACCATGCTAAATCACACCCGATAATGTCTGTTTGCAGTGGTGTGAGACACGCACAGAGCCTTGGCTTAACAAACCTTTTGGTATTTTTGTTTTGGTATTTTGGTATTTTTGTATTGATATTTTGGTGTTTTTGTATTGGAACCTTTCTTTTTGTTTTAAAGAGGGTTKGTAGCTCTGRAAATTTAAAATGCCATCCATGTGCRCATTTTYCTYCAGAAAAAGGAGGGGATTTCACCTGGTGAGGTGGTGGAAGTCAAACCCCTCATGATGGACGGGCATGGCTGCACCCACCGCTCTCTCCCATCCTGTTTTCCAGTYCAGATCGATTTGCCACCCACCATGAACATCTCCAGAGGGCTCCCAGGTCTCTACACTGCTGTCCAGATGCACCTGCACTGGGGAGGGCTGGACCTGGAGACCAGCGGCTCTGAGCACACCATCGATGGCATGAGATACTTCGCTGAGGTCCGTGTGGGCACAGGGGCTGTGGGAGGGAGCTCTGCACCCCAGAAAACCCACAGGGAGGGAGCTCTACACCCTATAGAACCCGCAGGGAGGGAGCTCTGCACCCCAGAAAACCCACAGGGAGGGAGCTCTACACCCTATAGAACCCGCAGGGAGGGAGCTCTGCACCCCCAGAGCTTTTGGGAGGGAGCTCTGCACCCCACAGAACCCACAGGAAGGGAGCTCTGCACCCCCAGAGCTTGTAAGAGGGAGCTCTGCACCCCACAGAACCCACAGGGAGGGAGCTCTGCACCCCACAGAGCCCAAGGAGGGAGCTCTGCACCCCCAGAGCTTTTGGGAAGGAGCTCTGCACCCCATAGAGTCTGTAGGGAGGGAGCTCTGGACCCCCCAGAACCTGCAGGCACCGGTGCAGGGGCAGGGGGGAACCAGGGCTCCCACAAGGGTGGGTGCTGGGTGCACTGGGAGGGATGAGCCTGATGGACCTGCCACAGAAATCTCCAAGAAAAGCCATGGCAGGGACACTCATCCTTCAGAGCTGGARCTGCTCCCCACAGCCCTCCCAGCCCCGTTAAAGCCCTTTGGGCTCTTTGTGAGCAGGAATTGGGGTGCTGGCTGTCCCTTTGACCCATCCCTTTTGCTGAGTGACCCCATCTCCCCCACAGCTGCACATTGTCCACTACAACTCTGCCCAGTACTCGTGCTTCGAGGAGGCCAAGGACAAGCCCCAGGGGCTGGCGGTGCTGGCCTTTCTCTACACGGTAGGTGGGACCCCAGGCTGCTGGGAGGGGTCCCATGGGTGCTCAAAGCTCCAGCAGACACAGGAGCATCAGCTGGGCTGTCCCTGCTGTACCTCAGCCAGGGGGAATATTTGATTCAGAGTGGTTAAAAGCAGTAAAAAATAATCCTGTTTGAGGTTCTACCCAAGCTGTCTGTGTACAAACCTGGCCATGCCTTGTACTGATCTCCATCAGGAGATCCCGATGGTGTTTGCTGTCTGTGTACAAACCTGGCCATGCCTCTCACTGGTCTCCATCAAGAGATCCCGATGGTGTTTGCTGCCTTTATCTCCCAATTAGCCCTGCAGGTGATTAGCAGTGAGGACAGGCAGCTCTGTCCCCTCTGACCCCAGCTCTGTGCTGTGTTTAGGATGGGCACTTTGAGAACACCTACTACAGCGAGTTCATCTCCAAGCTGGCCAGAATCAGGTTTGCAGGTAAGGCCTGGGAAYGCCTTTCTCTGTCCCTGACACTCCCCAGGCCTTTGTGGGAAGTGACCCTTTCCTGCTGCTTGGTGCCAGTGACATCCTGGGGACCCTCAGCCATGCCAGCCCAGCCCAGGGCTGTGGGGATGTGCTCAGGGTACCATGAACACATCCTGAAGGTCTGTGCAAAGCACTGCAGCACCAAATATCAGTTTCCTGCAGCCTGGCCACCCCCAGGGGCTGGCAGAGCCCTGGCAGCAGCTGCCCACCGTGCCAGGAGCCACATCCCCCTGTGACAAAGCACAGAGCCCCTGGAAGTGCCCTTCACTCCTCACCACCTCCAGCAGCTCCACCAAAGAAGCCCCAAAGGAGCTGTGGGCAGAGCGATTTTCCAGCCCTCTTTCCGTTAATTCCACAATTTTCCAGCCCCAGCTCTGAGAGCCCCTTCCTCCTCCCTGTTCCCATTAATTCCTGCTGTCACCCTCTGCTCCTCCCGAGGTCAATCCACCACGCTGAGTTCTCTGGACATCCAGGCCATGCTGCCCGAGAATCTGGGACAGTTCTACCGCTACCAGGGCTCGCTGACCACCCCGCCCTGCTCCGAGAGCGTCATCTGGACCATCTTCCACACCCCAATCGTCCTGTCACACACACAGGTCAGTGCTGCCCCTCTCCAGCTGCTCCTTCCTCCACACATTTCAKTTCCTGGCCTCCAGGGATCTCGGGACAGCCTGACAGAGGAGCTCTCAGGGTATTTCTCATGCAGAGCTTTGGGGATGGATCCCTGAGGAACTGGAATTTCGGTCTGGTGACTGATAACAAAACTCTCTGCTCACTTAAGCCCAGCCACCCTGAAGCACTGCAAAAAGGAAGAGACCTGTGAGAATTAACAAGGCAAAAACTACTGCAAGAGAGTCCCACTAAAAAAAAACAAACCCAAAAATGATCCATTCATGACATTAAAATAATAACAGAATAATTGGCAGATTTCAGAAGGTGTTCCAGGGTTTTTCCTTGTCTAGATTTAGATTGAAAGTAATGTTTCTAAGTTAACAGATAATAAAAAACTCATCAGAAACGTTTTCTTCCAGGACARGAACAAAATAAAACTTGTGGGTGAGGGAGGTGAGGGTTAGGGTTTAGAGTTTAGGGTTAGGGTCAAGGTTACGGTTAAGGTTTAGGGTTTAGGGGTAGTGTTAGGGTTTAGGGTAAGGGTCAGGGATTAGGGGTAGTGTTAGGGTTTAGGGTTAGGGTCAGGGATTAGGGGTAGTGTTAGGGTTTAGGGTTAGGGTCAGGGATTAGGGGTAGTGTTAGGGTTTAGGGTTAGCTTTTAGGGTTAGAGTTAAGCTGCAGTAGTTGGGG